AACAGTCTTTTAAATAAAGAGCAGAAGCAACCTAATATACTATAATTTTGCATGACTCATTGTCTTACATCATTATAGACAACAGATTTAAATAGTCAGCACAAGAAGAGTTTATGATACACAACATAAATCTTCTATCCGCTATTTTGATCCTAAATTTGACAAATTATTGAATTGTGCCCCAAGACCAAGAAAGTCCACTGTACTTGAATTACTTTAAGGCTTATAGAGGGATTAAGAAATCCTAGGAATGACAGATGGTGATGCAATATAAATTTATTTCCTCAGACCTAAAGAAAAGCCTATCTCCTGAGGAAAGAAACCATAAACCTAAACCATTAGCATTTATGCCTTCACTCCTTCATGGGGCTCCCATTAATAAACAAACCCTAATGTTCTACTAAATTATTTATTGGCTGAAATGAAATTTGTGCATTGGTGTTCTCTAAGTCAGATCTTAACTATTACATTCTTGTCAGCCAGTATCTTTCTTTAGCTGCACTTTTACCTCAAATTTTATTTGGATGTCTGAATGCAAAATATCAGCTTCAAGGCTCAGTAAATCCAACATGAGGAATTTAACATTGCAAGTGGAAAAATCTGACAAACAAGCAGACTGTAAGTTCAAAATCAATCTGTACTAGAAAGACAGAAAACAAAAGACATAACAGAAATACATGCAGTCAATTTACTACCAAAAATAAGCAAGACTTGCTTAATGAAAAGCATTAAGAGGAAAATACTTTCTGTCAGTGTTATCAGATACAGATACCTCACTAAATTTAGTATCAGTTGTAATGTGTGCTGAAGTTTGCATTTTTTTGAAATGATAAAGTACTAATAATTCTTACACATTACTGTAATAAAAGAAGCATGCTTGGTTTTTCTCACATGGAATAGTTTTCAGTGCTTTAACTACTCCAGAGACAAAGATTTTGTTTTTCAAGAAACACTAACTTTTTTCTGATTTCTTATCACAAATGGCATATTTCTGCAACTGCAGATCTTCTGTGTATATATTTCCGGCAGTCTCTCTGCAAAGAGGATTCATGAACATGCCGAACTTCATAGCAGCTCAGAGATATTGAGACTATTCCAGATCACCAGTGCAGTGCTGCAGTAACACTGACACAAGATATGGCCAAATTAAATAGAAGCCAGGGGAACTATATTGATAATCAGAATGACGAAAGACAACTGCTGATCTAGAGATCATCTCTGGCCACAGAAGAGATTGTGCAACTTGACCAAAGACAAATTCACAAAGCTGCTGAGAGAAACTTCTCCATTTGCTAATCTGTTTAATCAAATTAGCTTCTTATTACAGACTGTTTTGTTTTTTTTCCCATTGAATTAGAAAACTTGTAAAGACCATAATAAGAGGAGACAGCTAGCATCAGCACCACTGTAACTTGCATTACAGTTCAAGCAAGACCAAAGGACAATAGTGTTTACCAAAAAGGCTTACGGACTCAAATGACACACACACTAAGTCTCTAACAAACAAAAAAAGAAATAATGAAAGCAAGAAATAGAGCAAAGAAAAAAAACTCAGCATAGGCAGATAAGTGAGGGTGTGTAGTTGTTAGTCTCTTCCATGGGTTTTGTTGGCTAAGAAGCACCTCTGGCAACTCATGATAAAAGTAAGGAACTGCCTTGAAAGGACAGTAAATGACATGACAAGTTGCACCCAGGTGAAATCTTGAGAGTATGGAATGAAAGAAAAGAAAAGAAACTTCTGAAGATCTAACTTCCATCTAAGACAAAAGGCAGCATAGATGGATGCAGTAAAGAAGGGGAAATAGAAAAATAAATCAATAACAATGAAGTGGCAGCCCCTTCTCCTCCCTAGAAAAAGTTTCTCCTTTGAAATGGTGAAGACGTGAAGCAGATTGTGTCAATACAGTCAGCATGAAATATATGGAGAGATAATACCAGCCATATGTTGCTTGGAATATAATATAAAAATATAATGTTACCAGCCATATATATTGTTTGGAAATTACTGAAAGCTTGGTACAAGACAGTTTAAGACAATTTAGATATATATGCCATTAGAATCATAAATTATTTAATTATGAACAATTATTATAAAGAGCACTGGAAAAGTTATTTACAGAAAAGAACAACATAAAAATAATCTCCCGGCCAAATATAGTGAAGTGTGATTTCAGTGCTCTGAATAATCAAAGTGAAGATGAGAACACACACAAAAAGTGGAGAAAAAATGACTGAAAAGCACTAGCAGTGGAATCCACAGCTATTAGGTAGAAGACTCCTGCAACTAAAACATTGGAAAAGCATGTACACAGATGCATGTCTGAGGGAAGGACTATACTTACTGCAAAGGAAATAGGAAAGGAAGAATTTAGTACAATAGGCTTAAGACACACAGGTTGCTTTCCTACAATGTGGAAGTTTCTTGCTGGAAGCTTTACAGCAAATGTGTTTGAGTGGGTTGAAGTTAACGGTATTGTCTCCCCAAGTACAGAAAGGATGGTGAAAGTGTGGTGAAAAGACAAAAGCTCTCTGACAGAATAAGAAGCCATTTTTACAGATGTCAGGAAAAATGCCATGTACATGATGTGAAATCTTACCTCACCACTGGAGTAGAGCAGTGATAAACGGTTGAAAGTACTGTCTGTACAAGGGAACACAGAGAAAGTATATTGGAGAAGTATGTGTTATACTCGGAATACAACAACAATTTGTAAGGCAAGAGTACATAAACCAAGAGATTTTTCCAAACTGAGTACAAATCTTTTTTTTTTTTTTTTTTTAATATCCTCATTTCTACTGGTTGCTCTGCTGTACCATGTAAGGAGGAGCCATTTAATGATGAAGGACAGGAAGCCCATTTCACATCTGTTTTTTTATAGATAATCTGAAATGACAGGCAGAATGATACCTAACTGAAGTCACTGGTGGCAGCTGCAGACACTGCCTCAAAAGATACAGAAATGGCATTAAGGTCAAACAAATGTGCATAGCCACAGATACTAGAAAGATCTATAGCACTGCACCAGCTTGGCTCCCTCTACCTTATGCTGTCCTCAACACTATCCTGGTGTGTTTTCTAGGCCGGAGAAGCGCCTGAGGAGGAGGAGGATAGCAGTATCTGCTGCTCTCCGGACAAAGCAGCCCCACCGCTCTCCCCAGGGGCTGTGCACTTCAAGCTCAGCGGAGCCCGCGGCCCATCAGACGCTCTGCCAGCCGCCAGCAGCTGCCTCAGGCCCCGGGCTGGAGGCGGGCGGGGAGCGCGGGCGGGGCAGTAGGAGGCCCTGCCTGCACAAGGGCCGTCCCCGCATGTCCGCCGGCCGCCGTTCTGCTCCGCTCCGCTCCTCCTCTGCGGTAAGGGAGCAGGGGAAGGAGAAGGCCGCTGGGGGACAGTGGGGCAGGGAGCTCGGAGGCTGGGGTCTCGCTGCGGGGAGAGCGGAGCGCGGAAAGAGGCCCCCCAGGGCCCTCGAGTCCGGGCAGCGGGCGGCCGAGGGGGGAGGGACCGCTGCCTATGGGCGTACCCGCGAGCGGAGCGGGGAAAATGGAGGCACAGGAGAACGCTTTGGTGCAGCGGGCAGGACTGGTTGTGTGGAAACGGGCATGGGCGAGCCGAGACCGGAACCTGCGCGCTGCTCTGGCAGCCCTGGCTCGGTGCTGCAGTCGGGATGGGTGTAAGGCTCTTCTGAGCTCCTCGACTCCAGCCCCGCGGGGTTGGTAGGAGACAATGAGCAGGCCCTGAGGGCTGCCCGTAGTGCTCGGCGTTTCTTGCACCAAAGAAGTGCTCAGGTATGAGGGAGCGAACGTTTTCATTTTGACATTTGTTACCCGGTCTGAGGGTACCTGGTTTCTCCTCAGGGTTTTCTTGTGTGCCAGCCCTTCAAGGTCTCTTCCCCTTTCAGCTGCCCAGTTGGCCTTACTGGCCGTGCAAAACAACAGCGCCTCCATTTTTGCCAAGCTTCCCGAGTGTCCTTCGCAAGTTCCCTATGAGTGTGCTACCAGATCTTTTTAAACTCCCAAAACTCTTCATTTGCTTGTATTTTTAATACTGTTTCCTTTGGAAATAGGCCGCCTGGCTCTCTGTGAGGCCTGTGCTTCTGCCATCCCCCAGGCTTTTAGCGGGGTAATTAATTTCTGTCAAAGATGATTACAGGCCTCAGTGTTCTGGTAGGTAGGGGTTGGATACTGGCACGCAGTGAAGGGGAGGTGGGGCAGGTTTGTCTCCTGCAGGGTCATCATGGAAGTAGCAGCCTGGCCACATAAACCAAAACATAATACTGAAAAAAAGTACAGCATAAGTGGTAGTGATTTTCACTTGGCTTTTCTACAAGGTCTATGGCCTCAAAAATTGCAAATCTCAACTACAAGAATGTAAAGTGTCCCCCCAACATTTTTTTTAAATTTCCCCTCTACCTTTCATTATGTATAATTATACATTAATTTATCTGCCCCATTACATTAATGCTAGGAAATACATCAGTGCATGTACTATGTCCATTACTATATACTCTGAGGTACCTCCTAACCCACATTCCACTTTCAAGGAATAAACAGATGTTCCATACACTAGACCCAGTACTAAACCTGTACACTGACGTGGGCAGCTCCAGGCTAACCAGAGCTCATGAAGTTTCTTCTCCAGTAACAGCACTGGTAGATAAGGAGCGACCTATGGTTACTGCTAAAGTAAAAGTGATTGGCAGTGTGGATCTGTAGGAAATCAGAAAGACTTTGTAAGTTCTGCTTGCAAGAGTTTAGCTCCCCCTCCCCTCTGTTTCTGTGGGGAAATAAAAATTTAATGAAATATCAGGAAGTGTTTGCAGGTGCTTTAAGTTGTATTCAACTTTTGTGTTCACATAACTCATGCCAAGTCCAGAAATGTTTTATTTTCAAATATAACTTCTTTCTTGTTTTTTGATTTGCAGTTTAAGCCATGGCACTGAAACAGGTTTCCAGCAACCGGTGCTTTGAGGGCTTCCAGAAGGTCTTTGAGCATGACAGGTGAACACTACAAGAGTAAACTAGATGTTTAGCATGGGGCAGTGAATCCATACTGTTGTTCCTGTAAGTGTTCTCAGACTGGAGGGAGATGGTGTGTTCTCACCAATATCAGTATTTTAGTAAGGAATCCTGTATACTGCTGCTTTGGCTGTGTTCTTTTATTTCTGTGTTAATGTTTAACATGTCTAGTATGCTTAGTACTGCAGATATGAGATGGGAAGCCAGTATTTTCACCCGTGAAAATGAAGCTCCATTACTTTGGGTTGTTCTATTTGAAGCACAGAGAACCACCATGTTTACAAAGTTCCATTCACTCCAGTGGATATTTCAATTCTGTGCACTTTTGAAAAATGCTGTGGGCAGATAGACACAGTAGATAGATTCTTGATTGGTGAAGGTGAACAAAAAATCTTCCATTTCTGATCCAAAATAAAAGTCATTATTTGTGCTTAGATAAGATTTTATTGAAAATTCTAGGCTTTAGTATTAATTGGACAATTAATAAAAAAATCTGTAGATTTAGCAGGTTGAAAACTTACCTTGCTGGGGCATGCTGTGCAGTGTATGTTCTGTAAGTCATGTAGTACAAATCACTTTCCAATTTAATACACAAAGCTCAAGTTAAGTATTGCTGGGGTTCATAATGCAGTTTTCAAACTGCTCCAGTTGAGCAGCACTGGAAAAATGTGGCTTATTTGTAAGTCTCTGTTTTAAGTATGTTCAGAACGAGCTGAAACCAGGACAGAAGGTTAACTGTTGTCAGTTCAGGAGGCTAAGGCTGACTTTTAAAATTGCTTTTCACTTTGTTTAACTTAGTAGTTATAATTCACTGAACAAATCTGTCTTTGAACAAAATGCATTGATTCAACTTTCTCTTTTTAATGTTAGTGACCTTGTTGATTTAGTAGTGGTGATGACAAGAAATATTTTATTAATACAGTGCAGAGCTTAAATGCAAAATGAAATTTGGAATCTACTTGCCTCCAAAAGCAGAAACCGCCAAGTGTCCTGTGCTGTATTGGCTCTCTGGTAAGTAACATGAATTTTATCTGCTTCAAGTTACCTTTTTCAAGTTACTAAGTTTAAGCTACTATGCTACAGTTATTGAAAACCTGATGTAGAGGTACTACAGTTGCAGCTCTCGCAGTCTACAAATGATGATCTCCTGGAGCACATGTTTACTTTAAGTGTTTTGTGATAAAGATGGATGTAGCTGGCTTCAGGGGTAGCCTACTGGGTTGTGTTCTAAAATGCTCAGTGTTCAAAATGTTCTCCCTTTTTGTTTGAAAACATACATTCTTTTTGTTCTAAAGCATATATATATTTCAGGTTCTCCTGAAAGGCCTTCTGACTCAGACACCTTCTGCTTCTGTTTGTCTGAGACAGACTGCTTCAGTTAATGGGACTGGGAACAAAGTTTAGCCCATTGGAGCCAGCTAAATTGTCCCTCTTGATTTTCAAAACCTTTTCTGTCAAAAACCTCATAGCAGCCTTCCAGTATCTGAAGTGTGTGTACAGGGATGCCGGAGAGGGATTCTTCATCAGGGACTGTAGTGATAGGATAAGGGGTAACAGGTTCAAACTTAAACAGAGGAGATACAAGTTAAATATAATTAAGTCATTCTTTACTGTGAGGGTAGTGAGTCACTGGCACAGGTTGCCCAAGGAAGTTGTGGCTGCCCCATCCCTGCCAGTGTTCAAGGCCAGGTTGGACAGGGCTTTGACAGCCTGGTCTAGTGGAAGGTGTCCCTGCCCATGGGATCGGGGTTGGAACTAAATGAGCTTTAAGGTCCTTTCCAACCCTAACCATTCTATGATTCATTCATTCTGTCATTCATTTTGTGAAAGAGGGTTTTGAAACTGCGATACTGTGACCAATGTGTAACCAGTGCTGTTTTTATTTCTCTAGGGTTAACTTGTACAGAACAGAATTTTATAACAAAAGCTGGTTTTCAGCAAGCTGCTGCTGAACATGGCCTTATTGTAGTCGCGCCAGACACAAGCCCACGTAAGTTTTAACAAGAGGCATGGTAACAGTTGTTACACTGAAGTACACTGTCTTCATCCCCAAAAGATTGGAGTGCTGCAGTTTACTACGAAGTAGGTTGCCCATCTGAGTCAGAAAATGACCTCTCCTCTTGTACTGTTTGCTAGGTTATATTGTCTATGGTATTATCTAGGTATATGTCTTTGTCTTAATAATGTGGTAGTGAAGGTCTGACATTTGAAATTCTTTCATTGTCATGGCACAAAAGCTAGAACAAAGGGGCCATTGAGTTCAGCAGGAATGAGGAGAGGGAAGAAAGGGAAAACGAGGCATGTGCTATCAGAGACACTAACATGCACTTTGTGACTTGCTGAGACTTTAAAAAAAATCTGCAGAACTGTGTTGTCACACAAAGATGTAATGTTTACTCTTTATTGTATTTTGTCTTCTAAAGCTGATTGAATACATGCCTTCAGAGGATTCCAATACTTACAGAAGCAAACCAGGAGCCCTTCTCCCCTGCAGCTGCAACACACTACTGATGAATAGCCTTTTTAAATGATTTGCTGTTACCTCTATAAGGCTGAGCTTATGTGTGCTATTGGAAAACTGAAAATGATGGATCTGCAGTTACAGTCTTTTGGGGATTCAGGGTATTATGTTTAGTATTTGCTGGATTCAGCTGAAATCTCGTGGAGTAATATGGAAATGAAGTTATGTTCTTTCCCAAAAATAGTTTTCATATGTAGTTTTTGAAGTTCTGTCAGTTCAAAACCCAGAAATACACACTGGATAATTATACTGGGACTTGTGTTTAGTGTTATCTGTGTAGGTTGACTCTCAATATGCAACTTAACTTGCATAGTTCATTGCTTTATCCATCTTCTTTTAAAACCCTCTTTGCAGCTTCTCTCTTGCCTTTTAGCAGGCAATGATCAGCATTGCTCTGCTATTTAGATGGATTTCAGTATGTGTTTCATGTTATGCACTTAGGTTTTAGCTCAGAGACCCCAAATATTCTTAAAGCTGTGAGCTGTCTGGAGAAACAAGTGAAGAGCAGTTCAAATGTAATCACAGATTAAGAGACCGGAGCCTATGTAGTGAAAATGCTTATAAGTGCTTTTTAACTGTGTAGTTAGGACTACATAAGAATTATGTTCCAGAAGCTAGGAGATGTATCTGCATGGGATAAATGACTGTGTGAAAGCTTGGAGTACCTGTCATTACAAATCCTCTGTCAGACCTGATAGACTTTGCTTTTCCTTCTTTGTAAGGGTGTGCTTTTCTAGACAGGTGTACTGACCAGTATTCTGCAATTTCCTTTTAAAATTTATTTTTTCAAGGCTACCCTGAAGTTTCTTTTAGCAGAATCAGCATTGCCTTCATTGTCTGCCAGGACTTCCTGAGTTTTTATCTACCCCCAAAGATAGACTTCTTTATATCCAGCATGTTGTGTAAGCATCCCCAATCCCTGTGACTGCTGGACTGTTAAGTTACAAAATCACTCAGTGTTCAAGGGCACATCACTGGAGCAAACTCAGCTTTGATCCTTGTAAAAATCTGATTTCATACTGTGACAGGGTGGCAGGTATTTCTGCACAAATTGTCAGGGATTGTCAAATTACATGTGGGTTTGCAGTGTAATCTGACAGTAGTGAAAGACCATGTAATTTGTGATAGCAGAAACTAGGGAGATTTTGGAGAAGGGGAGGTCATTATTTCCTGTCACATACGCCTTGAAATACTGCATTCTGTTCTGGAAACCAAGCTGGTAAATCACAGGCTAATCAAAGGGAGAGTAAGAGAGGACTAGATGGGATGTATTGACTTTCAAGGAGATATGTGCAAATCTAGTTTGAGAGTGTAGCCTTGGAAAAGAGGATGCAACCCTGCAGTTAGTCACAGAAGAAATTACTTAAGTTTTATGGGGAAGTTATAGGTGGGAGCAATGAAACAAATTGCAGAAAAGATAGAGTTATATACTTTAAAAATGATAGGAACAGTAAGTGTTATTATGCTGTTGAACCTTAAAAAGGGAGGTGTAACAGACTTTATTTGTAGCACATAAACTGGTCTGGACACACCATTTGGTGATATATGGTTCTGTCCTTCCAGGGGAAAGAAACAGTTTCTGTTTTTCAATTTCTTGTACTTGATAGGATGAGGTCTATTAACGGAAACAAGCTGATACCACCAACTAATAAGTAACAACTTTTGAGTAAGTCCCTGGGTACATTGAACAAGCTTTACAGAACTAGTTTAGGAGAGATCTGTGTGTTATATTTATCTATTAAGGGATACTGAAACAAGTTGAAAGCTGGGTACATCTGTAGGTAATATAGAAGTAGCATTTTGAAAGTGTTATTGAAATAAAACTTGCAAATACTGTATTAACAAATGAAAACCTGAATTGTCTTATAGTTGGAGGAGCAGAGTCATGTTGATTGAGAAACTTGGGTCCAGAGTCTCTGATGTTTATGACAGTTTCTCCAATTGAGGACCAGTTGGATGGGGCTTTGAGCAGCCTGGTCTACTGGAAGGTGTCCCTACCCAGGGCAAGGGGATTAGAACTAAATGAGCTTTAAGGTCCTTTCCAACCCAAGCCATTCTATGATTCTACGAAAGACAGTAACTACAGAAAGAATTTTCATGGTAGGTGGCTGCAATATTGAGGGAGAAGATGAAAGCTGGGATTTTGGCACCGGTGCTGGTTTTTATGTGGATGCCACTGAAGAGCCTTGGAAAACTAACTATAGGATGTATTCCTACATAAAGGACGAGGTAACTTTGCTGCTGGGGTCTCCTAGTGTTGTTGGGTAAGATAAAGAAGTAATCTCTGCTGCTTCTGAAGCAACCCACTGCATTTCACTGCACCAGTACTTCAGTTGTATTGCTCATTTAAACTGTTCGTACTGTCTTGGAAGGCTGGGTGGTAGTTTTGTTATTGGGTTGTTTGTTTTTCTTTAAGTAGGTATAAAAGGAGATCCTTGAGGTATATATTAGAAAGGTGAGAGTCCAGTTTACATGGGGTTTGTGTGGTCTGGATTCAGACTAAAGTTGATGGGAATATAGGGAACATATGGGCCATTCTGGTCACTTACAGGAGCACATACATATTTCTGTGACTATTAAAATAAAACTATTAGGAAATTCCCACATCCCGTGTTACAGGGTTATGATAGATTTCTACAGAGATACTTTGAGGTACCTATTGTCAGATTAATTGTTTCAGTTTGATTTTACAGTCCTGTTTTAAGTTTCTTTCAGACCATGATCACAAATGTCAGACTAGAAACAAAAGATGTGCCTTTGCTTTCAGTGGCTTTCTGGCACTAAAACACATTAGTTAGTTGTCTGCTTTTTCCTCTAAACATACTCGAGTTGCTCTAATGTTCTTATTACACTGTTTTTCCTTTACAGCTGCCTAAACTAATAAATGCCAATTTTCCAACTGACCCTGAACGGATGTCTATTTTTGGGCATTCCATGGGAGGACATGGAGCTCTTATTCTTGCTCTGAAGAATCCTGGAAAGTACAAAGTAAGATATAGTGTGGCTTTTATGAGGCTTATACAGGTTTCTAGAGAAGTGAAGAAAAAAATCATAGTACCAACTTGTGTTATACTGTTAAGTGTATAAATAGGTTTAGTTGTGGCAGTCCATTGATACCTATTATTAGAATATGGAAAACACTCTGGAGTATGAGTATCAGGGAAATTAAGAAAACCCTTCAAATTTCAAAGTTAAGAATAGGCCACTTTCTTTTGGATGATGCTACAGCTCTTCCAAACCAATTGTTATATTTAAATGTAAACAGGCTCCTTCTAGCTCTGAAGTTGATTCATGCTGCCAGTATTGTCTAGAAGTCTGGTTGTGTGCTGTGCTTTATCTTTTCAAATCTTGTTTTGTTCATTCTGGAGCTTTTATTACCAGCAAATCATTATATCTGTGTTTGCTTGGAATTTACTACAGAGTCTGTTAACTCCAACTGTGTAACTGTTAAGCACCCAAACTGTACATGGAATAGTATCTGGAGCAGATTCTCCCGTTTCCCTCCCCGCCCAGTTCTTTCTCCTCCAAAGATTTGCATGTCAAGTTTCCTAAAGATTGATTTTCAGTATATTCAAGATATCTGAAGTTGTGTTCATCTGTATTCTACTTGAACCTAAATCACACATGCTGGAACTGATTTGCCTTTCCTCACACTCAGGAGGGTTGAGAGAAAGTTTGTTGCTCTCTTTGGGGATAAGCTTATGTAAAATGCATTTCTGAGAGCAAATTGGGCATTGGTGTCTGGGGCTCTACCTACGTGGATCAGTCCTTCCATGGGCTGTCCAGGCCCTGCACTTTGTGGTCAGCTGCTGCAAAAATGGAACTGCATTTTTGAAAATAGCTTAACATTTGCTCAGTGTCATTGGCTTGGCATTGTAAGAGAGCTAAATGTAAGATAAAGCTTTATTTTGTCTCACGTTTTAATTTTTGGAGCCAGTAGTTCAGAAATGTCCATTTTTCACTGTTGGCACTTAACTGCCAATTGTATTATCTAGAATGAAACTTTAAATTAAAAATAGCAAAATCCAGGAGAGCTGGCAGTGGCTCAGATGCTTATTGCTGTTTCTTGCAAGACCTGAGTAGAAATTTTGATGTCCCATGCACAAATCAAAAAGAATGATGTAGGAACAGGTCTTGGACTTCTGACACCAGCATACGGAGTTGTGATCTGAAATGCGCTTTACTTGATCCCTGATCTTAGAGGTACCTGAATTCATGAGACACTGTTGCGTAGGTAGACTGGCTGAGCAGCACCATGCCTCAGGCTTATTATGCTCTGCCAAAATACACTCTGACCATGCTGACACAGCAGTAGAATTGAGATCCTTTCCTGCTGCTTAAGAGAATTCAAGTCAACACTTCTCAACAAAGAAAAGAATGGGGCATCTAGCTCTGCGTTTTGTAGCTTGGCTGATGTGCAAAAAGGAAAGCAAAACTGTGGTTCTAGAAAGAACAAATAAGAGTTAAGTAGGGTAATGGTTAGGGTACCTAGCCTGGAGTGTTGAGGAAGCCTGGGTTCTGGCAGTGACTTAAACCATTTTCAAAAAGGCTTTTCACTTGCTTCTTAGTTACCTGAAATCACTCTTCTGAACTCATACAGGGTTTTTTCATATTTTCTTTTTGAATAGTCTGTGTCAGCATTTGCTCCTATCTGCAACCCGATTCAGTGTCAGTGGGGGAAGAAAGCCCTTGGTGGATATCTGGGATCAGACGTAAACAAGTGGGAGGTATGTGTTGCAACCACAGTCCTTTAATAACACGTGAACGATCTAGTAAATATATTGCAGCAGGAGTCTGGAATAAAACTCTAGTGTGCCCCTGAGCTGGTACTGCTGGTTTACTACATGCCTAAGCACAGATAAGCATTGTATGTTTCTGGTGGGTATGAGTTGCTATTGCCTGATGGTGCTTACAACAAATGGAATGAGATAGAAGGCTCTCATCAAATTGACTATATTCCTCCCTTTTTTTATGAAGGGCTTAAAATCTGGGCTAAGAAGAATTATGAACAGTGTGAGACTTTCTGTAATGCATGAAAGCAGTGATATGTTTTAAAGAGAGTTAGGGTACAGCCTGTCTCTCAAAACCTCACTTCTCAATATATGAAACAGCTGGGTTTTGTAGTAGCCTGAAAAGAGGGACTGCTACAAATTGTGTAGAGACTGATGAATTTCACAGCATCTGCAGGGTCAGTCTGTTGGAGGCAGATAGAAGAGGAGCCCATTGGGTACTTGGAATTTGGTATCCCATGGAACAGGATGAAACCAGATGACATCGGGTGTTAGCTCCAGGGCCTGAATTTTGAAATATAAGTAGTCATATATGAATGGCTATAATAGAAAAGTGTTTGTGTGCATGTCACTGTGTTATGTGGGCAGACCTTCAGTATTTTTCATCTAAGCATAAACATTACACTGCATTGCTGGAATTAAGTTAGAGGGTATCATCATGACCTGGTATCCTGAATTCCTTGTGAATAAACGCAAACTGCAGTTTAATCCCTTGTAAATTAGATTAAAATACCTTGTAGGAAGACATCAAGGTCTGATTAAAGCATTACAGGAATGGAAAGCACTAGCAGCTTTCCCAAGCAATAGAGTAGTTTGTATATTTAGAAAATGCTGGTTAAACTTGCTTACACTTAACATAATGAATTTATTTGGGGAAAAAAACCAAAAGTTTTCTGGCCCCTTAACTTGCTTTGGAGCTCTTCTGCAAATCCAGTCCAGTAGATCAACAGCAGGCATTGGGAATAGACTTAAGCCTGCCATTGGCACAGATGTACAATCTCTGATCTCTGTATTTCTGCTTCAAATTGCCAGGTAGGTATGTGGAAGGATCATTTCATACCATGGCCACAGTGCTTGGCTGAGTCCAAGCTCCCTTTTCCGTTGCAGTGTCATTTCTGGTTCTGGTGGCATTTTGGAAGCATGGCTCTGATGCCTTGGTGTAGAACTTTGCATTCTGCTGTCTGTTGATGATCTGTCTTGTCCAGTGCCTTAAAACACTTCTTTACCTTTTTAAGGGATTTTTATTTTGAACATGACAAGCACAGGACCCCACAAGAAACGAGTTCCCCATTCACAATTACGTTTTGATGCATGTGTGTTAATAATCTTTAATTTATGCTGTGTGTGGCACTTTTGTTTCTCAGTTGCACAAAGTTTTCTTGGTCAAATTGTCTTGGTAACCTTCAGGTTCAGTGCCTTCTATGAGCATAGTTGTGTTACACCAGTATTTTGACCTTTAGCTGCCAAAATAGTTCCATCAAGGTGCCAAGTTATTTTGGCAGAATCTAGTTTCTGTACAAGCTTATGAATCGGTACTAGATGATATTGGTGGTGTTCTGTATGAATTTAGCCCTGGCCTGGATGTTCTGTTTGGTCAAACTGCTAGCTTGGTAATTACTCAGATTATACTTGGTATGACTTTTCAGTTGTCTAGAATTTTCTCAATTTTTTGCTCTTCAGAAGTGTAATTTGATGTCCTGATCAGTATCACCCAGTACTCTTTATATGCCATCCTTTTCTTGCAGTCAGCAGATTTAATCCAATCTAATATATGTGGCTGAATGTTGTTTCTTTTGTATTTCTGCAGGCATATGATGCTACACAACTAGTGAAGTCCTATGCAGGCTCTCCACTGGACATCTTGATTGATCAAGGCAAAGATGACCAGTTCCTATCAGCGGGCCAGTTACTGCCTGATAACTTCATCGGTGCCTGCACAGAGCAGAAAGTCCCAGTAGTCTTTAGACTACAGCAGGCAAGTTGCTTCTCCAGTGCTTGATTGTCAGGTTGTTGGTTTGTGATTTTTGGGTCTGTGTGGCAGGTAGTGAGGGGAGTGTCTCTTAACAGGGCATGCTGTCACTTAACCTGTGAATCTGTCCTACCTGTGCGGAAGAGGGTGACAAGTGACATTTTCTGTAATACAAGCTATCTGGAGTGCAGTATCCATCAGGTTCAGCTGCATTTCACCACTAGGTGGGGTCATGATTTTAGTTTGGAGGAGCTGATCCCTCGGAGGTCGCCTGAAGAAGCAGCAGTAGTGATTTTTCATAAGCATCACAGTCACTGTATGATCAAAGTGACAGATGTGCTTTTGCTGGATTCCTCACCTGTACTGTGGGTAGTGTGTTTAGCATACTTTGTGATTTAGTTTGCATGTGTTTGTGTAGGTTGGGAAAGGTGTGGAACTGCTTGAAATCTTAAATTCATTTAAAGAGCCACGTGGAAGGATTTCTCTTTCCTATGGTGTGGTGACCTAGAACAGCACTTGTCTTAGTAAGTGACTGATGACTTCCAGCCGGACACAGAGGATCCTGGTTGTAGAGAGTGAGGGACTGCACCAAAAGAGAAAGTGCTGACAGAGAGGGGTAATTCAGAGGTTTACGTGCCACTATAGCATAGTGCTGGAGCTCTAATTCAGGGCTGGGCTGTGTCCTACTTATACCATGTGTTTTAAGAGTAGGACAACGTTGGTGAGGGGGGGACTGTTGTCTCAGATTGCACCTTACTCTGCAGCTGATGCTGTTATCAGCTCTGATTCACATGCCCAGATTGGGGCAGGTTAGGGTACTTTCTGTTTCTTCAGCTCCCTAGTGTTCTAGATATTTCATCTGCTAGGTATCCTAGGCATTTTCTATATATAATACAGGTATTTTTGAGTTCTTAAAACAGATCAAACCAGGATATACATTAACTTACCTAGAAGAGAACTTAGCATGATTGCTATATCATGAACTATGTGTATTTTCCAATTTCTTTATTATTGTTTTTTTCTAGGGTTATGATCACAGCTATTTTTTCATTGCTACGTTTATTAATGACCACATCAAGCACCATGCAAAATACCTCAATGCTTGAACCCTCTGGATGTGAGCATCACCTGACCATTGGGAATCAAGGGATAGAGATGAACTAAACAAAAATCATTTGCTGGAGTAGTGTCTGTAAAATGGAGCTCCTCTGATTGTACTGCTAAGGAAAATAAAAGCCCCACTTAATTTGCTGTGTGTGCTTTAGAGTAAGTATTTTGAATGTTCTTGCATGCTTTGAAAAATCCCCCAACACCATGAAGGTGTGTGCTGCATTCTAGGTCAGAATGGAAATGAGCTGATGAGTTAGTTTCAGACTATGAATGTAGGTGTGCATTTGGGACCTCAAGATGAATAACAAGTGTCCTTCTTCAGCTAATTAAATACTAGGGTTCACTTCATTGCTTAATGCTGAAGGAAGTCATTTGTGGCACAACCAATGAAGCCACTTAATTAATGTGAAGTGGCTGCTTTATTTTTCCTTGGCCTGTCTAAATGCATACCAAGGACAATGTGTGGTGTAGCATACAGACAACAGCTTGCTGTGCAGTGTGGTTTGCTGGCCAGTATGTTATTAACATCAAACAAATAATCTGAAGAGTATTTCAAGGATGATACTTAAACAAAAGACCTCTTAAAAACCATTTGAAGGAAGCAGGCTGTAGTAAAGGAGGGGTTGTTGTTGTTTTCTCCACTTGCCTTTGATTGTTGCTGAGTGCTGTGTTTCTGGCTTTCTTAGACTAACAGGATTGAAAGGAAACTGATAAATAGATCTGAAGGAAAAAAAAGGCAGTTCCTATCTCTAGATGCTCTCTTATTATGGAAAAGAGTGTTCTTATTTGACTAAAGATAACAGGATTTTTGCAGGCCTGACAGTTGTAGGCCTAAACTAGTTCCCAGTGTTAGAATTCTGCCTGCTACCTTGTGTGGGACAAGAACAGTGGAACTAAATGATGTTCCAAACCATTCTAACAAACACAGCTTGTTCCAGTGAGCTGTCAACCTCATGGTCACACAATTACTTGTAAACTCCACTTGCCCATGGTTCAGTTGAACCTTCATCCTTGCTCAAACCCTGACTCCCTCTTGCCAGAGGAAATTCTAGGGTAGCGGTAGGATCGATTGTTTTTGTAAGCAATGCTGAATGCTCGCCTGTTTCCCTGGCCCCTGCTAGGTTGTGTTGCAGGGTGGTTGATGCTGGGAACCTCCATTTCTGTTGCTGGTGACAGGCTTAAATTATGTATTGACTTCTATTGGTCTTGCATCTGCCAATTCCTGAAGCAAGCCTAGAAGGCTGTCTGGTGAGGCACTGGCACATGTTGCCCAGAGAAGCTGTGGCTGCCCCGTCCCTGGCAGTGCTCAAGGCCAGGCTGGATGGGGCTTGGAGCAACCTGGTCTAGTGGAAGGTGTCCCTGCCCATGGGAGGGGGTTGGAACTGGATGAATTTTTAGGTCCCTTCCAACCCAAACTATTCTATGAAGACACAGCTCTGTGCATTGCAAGAGTTCTCTGAAATGTTGAATGCAAGGTTTCCATGCTGTGGATTTACAACAGACACCAACTCCCCCTTTCTAATAAAGCAGGATATTGACAGAAAAAATCTCAGCCACGACTGCTAAATGTTTAGATATTTCCATTCCCACAACAGCAAAATGGGCTCAAAGGCTTGTTTCATGTATGGCAGCTTCTTCTAGTTGTTCCTTCTCCATCTTACAACCAGGCAATGGTTCTGCTGTGGCCAGCAGATGTGTTCCTGGGCAGTAGCTTTGGGCCAAGCACTGTGGACAGAGCAGGGCAGCAGCAGTTGGTGAATTCAGCTTGGGGCAGGTGTTTCTAACACTGAACATTTCCATTTGTTATCTGTCAAAGGCACTATTTCTGTTCCTTGTAGCTAAGGGAAATGGCATGGCACTTTTTTCATTTCTTAACAGGAGTCTATGCACCTGTGTGTTATATTAGAGGAGATTAAAAAGCCCATTTAACCCTGTAATTTACTGGAAGTGCTTTTAAACTACAATTTTAAAGCTGCTGGGTTAATGGTAGGAAGCAGCTTGCCATTCATGGTGGGGGGAAAGCCCTCTTGTATACTTGATAAATTTATATGGCATAATTCTAAGTTTCCCAGCACCTTGTGGATGGGTGTGGGAAGCTCTGTTATCTGTAGCCTTAATTTACAGTCCAGCAGGAGATCCATTACCAAGTCAGCTTCCCCAAGCACCTGCCCAGCTGTAATTTTGGAGCTGGAACCTGTCACGTTGCTTGCTTGACATTCCTAATGATTGGCTGTTCTCATGCACTATTTGCTTTCGTGGTAAAATTCAGTGTTCACAGGCACCGCTGCCTTGCTTCTTGGGAGGGACTGCAGTTGCCTGACTTGTGAGCAGGAGCAGGTTCAGGTGAGGTTCTGACAGGCTTCACAAGTCCAGAACAGCACAAACCCATGAGAAGAGCTGGGGCATGTGCAGCAGTTGCACAGATGGCTACAGACCCCTGGTTCACTGCAGCACTATAATGAGAATTGCACAAGGCTGTCAGATCTCTGATACTGGCAGTGCACAAGCCTCAGGTGTACTTGACCTTCAGTGAGGATAGCAACAGAACACCACTGTAGGACTCCTCCTCCCTAAATTATAGAATAATAGAATAGCTTGGGTTGGAAGGGACCTTTAAGCTCACCCAGTTCCAACCCCTGCCATGGGCAGAGACACCTTCCACTAGACCAGGTTGCTCCAAGCCCTGTCCAGCCTGGCCTTGAACACTGCCAGGATGGGGCAGCCACAGCTTCTCCGGGCAGTGCCTCAACACCCTATGCAGATTCTAACACAGCAACCAGTCTGTCTTGGCTGTGTATTGCAATAGCCACACAGGCACTTAAAGTTCCTCAGCACTCAAAAGCAGGATCTCCAAGGGAGATTGTTGCAGAAAGAGCTCCTCTTTCAACAATCCACTGCCAAACGTGAGCAAATACAGCCATAAAGACACCTGGTTAAGGTAAAGACACTTCGTTAGAGAAATGAGAAAATACCAAAACCTACACTTGGATGGGAAGAGGGCTCTGGAGTAGGACCTACAAACAGTAGTTTCTACTGCCCATTTCTGCAGACAGGAGAAGCACTGGCACAGGCACTGGGTTCTCTATGGCCAGGTCAGAAAGCGGCACTGTGTTTACTGTTTGGACTCACTAGAATAAGGAAATCATCAGATTTCATTGGCAAAAGCCTATGGAACAATCTCTGTATTTCAGAAGGAGGGTAGGGAGGAGAAGCAGCTGCACCATGGGAAGAAGAGGGAAACAGTGAAAAGAACAGTGACAAGAGCAAGAGCAAACTGAAGGTGGAAGCTCCTGTCTGCCTGAGCTGAGCCCACCATGACACCCAGCCCCAGAAGCAGAGGGCAGTTAATGCAACCATCCCCAGGCCCTCATTCATCATTCCCAGGGCTAGGCTCTCCCAGCACCATCTCTCGTACAAGAAACTGTCAGTCAGAGGGACAGCTGTTAAAAGGTTTCTACAAATAATAAAGTTTAATTATAGCTACAGTAGAGATCGTCTATATACATTACGTGTGCTGCTTAGGGTAGTAGAGCTTTGCCATGCATGTTTTATTGCACATACAAATAGGGTACAAAGGTTGATGGAGGTTCTTCTTTCAGCCGTACAGGTTAAGACTGCATAAAAAAAGCTGTATTACAAAATATTTAGAGCTCTTTATTTACAGCCAACTTCAAGCAAATACTGAAAGACACTATCAGGAGAAAACCAAAATTTTAATTATGAAAAAAACAAGATTTCTCAAAATAATAATTACAAAGCTTCATGTTGCCATATATACATTGTAAAAAAATACTCAGGAAACCTGCATTTTATCCCTCAAGATGCAGAAATCAATACTCCTATTTTTTATACTTGATCTGTGAATGCATTTAAAATTTGATAAACTCTGACTTGAAAACTTATTTTCTTTACATTGCTCGTGCTTTTTGACAAAACAGATATTTGTGCAGCTCTGTAAAATATTAAAATACATTTTAATTTAGTGTTAAAGTGCACAGTACATTTTATAGGAAACCATATGCTAGCTGCCAATCAGAAAATTACAGTTGAAGTCAGTGTTCACTCTGTAAAATAAACTCTTTTGCTTTGGTTGAAGTAACTGGATATTCCATGCATACCCTATGCTTCATTAGCTGTTCGCCCACCTTCCTCCTCCTGAGACACTGCTGTCACTACATACCTGATTTGTGGCATTAAATCACGGAAGTTTGCATTCAAACACTGTTTATTAACCCTTATAAACCTACTGTTGGAATACTGATGGGTTTAAGCACAGTGTGTCTGTGACAGGTATGCATCACCTTTCCCAAAAGTCTTTATACAATAGTCCTCTCCCCATTCTCTTGCTTAAATATTTAGTCCTCCCACCACCACACTGCTTTTTTGTCATTACACATATCCAACTCCCTGCCTGCATTCACCACTGACCCCTAACTCTTCTCTTCCCCACATGCAGTTTTCCTGCCCCGTCTGCTGAAGTTACATCCCTAAGCTTCTTACAGGAAAGGAAAACAGATCTTCCAGGCATGGCAAGAATGGAACTTCTTGATCTAAAATATGTGATGTTTCAATAATAAAATGATACTTTAAAGTACTGATAAGAACAAGAACCTTATTTTCTATTGCTGATGTGGGATAAGAGATCTGATCCCAGAGACATCCACTGCAGAACACTGTGCTTAGTTCTGTGGGGATGACCATCAGGAGAAGCCCTGGACCCAGCAGGATGGATCTGGAAGATCAGGTCTTTGAGGCTGCCTTTGGCAATTTTAATAACTTTTATCTCCTCTCAAAGGAATCGCTGAAGAAAACATCAGTTTCAGCTACCTGGTGACTCTTCTCCTTACTGTTCTTGTGCTATTTGTTACTATTTGTTCTGTAGTGCTGTAGTCTTTAAAAGAAATCAAGTTACAGTGCAAAATCCTATCTCAAGACAACATGATCCTAATGCACATCGTTCATTTTCTTGTGGAAAAAGTTAAATGTCTTGTGCATAGTAAAATAAGCAATCAAAAATACTCATTCACATTTACTTTTCAAGTTTACATCTTTCCTTTTTTTGTGTGTGTTTTTTAAACATCTATATACAACTAGAATGGGTGTGCTCTCAATTTCAGCCAATTCACTAGTCAGGGGGAAAA